TGGGCTCTTCCCTTCAATTACTTAATAAATGATTATCTGTCTATACATTTTAAGGCCAGAGGTAAGCACAGCAGACACAAAGCCCAGCAAGGCAAGGGCAGGGAGTCCAGCAGGGAGGACAGCCTGGCGGAGCACTCAGAAGAATAGCATGCAGAGAGTACTGGGAACGGTCGGAACGGTGGAGAGGGCTCTTTCATCAGCCTAGGAGGGTCCATGTTATGGAAATGACTTTGCTCCTTAAGCCTCATGAACCAACCTCTCCTAGCTTCAAACTTTTCTTCTGCAGCTTCCTCATCTTTCTCAGCCTTCACAGAATTGAAGAGAGTTAGGGCCTTGCTCTGGATTAGTTTTGGCCTAAGGGAAGGTTGTGGCTGGCTTGTTCTTCTATCCACACCGCTGAAACTTTCTCCTTATTAGCAAAAGGCTGTTGTGCTTTCTTATTCATGTGCTCACTGGAGTAGCACTTTTAATTTTCTTCAAGAACTTTTCCTTTGTATTCACAACTTGGCTAACTCTGGTGCAAGAGCCTAGCTTTTGGCCCACGTTGGCTTTCGACATGCCTTCCTCACCAAGCTTCACCATTACCAGCCTTTGATTTCAGGTGAGAGACATGCGACACTTCCTTTCACTTGAACACTTAGAGGCCATCGTAGGGTTGTTCAATCGCCTAATTTCAATATTGTTGTGTCTCAGGGAATAGGGAGGCCTGAGGAGAGGGAGAGAGATGTGGGAAAGGCCAGCTGGGGGAGCACTCACAACCCACCCAACATTTATCAATGAAGTCTGCCATCTTATATACGTGCAGCTTGTGGTGCCTGCAAACAATCATGAAAGTGACATCAAAGGTCACTGGTCACAGATCACCACAGCAGATATAATAATAATAATGAAAAACTTTGAAATATTGTAAAAATTACTAAAATGTGACACAGGCATGAAGTGAACATATGCTGTGGAAAAATGGTGCAGATAGACTTGCTTGACACAGAGTTGGCCACAAAGCTTCTATTTGTAAAAGATGCAGTATTTGTAAAGCATAATAAAGCAAAGTGCAATAAAATGAGGTATGCTTGTATATACAAATATTGCAAAATCTGAAAACATCCCAAGTTCAAAACATGTCTGGTCTCAGGCATTTCAGATAAGGGATACTCAATCTGTGTGTGTGTATGAATTTTGATCATGTAAGGTCAGGAGTTCGAGACCAGCCTGGCCAACATGGTGAAACCCTGCCCCTACTAAAATACAAAAATTAGCTGTACATGGTGGCACTCACCTATAATCCCAGCTACTCAGAGAGGGAGGCTGTGGGCGCACTGAGGCAGAAGAATTGCTTGAACCCAGGATGCGGAGGTTGCAGTGAGCTGAGATCACACCACTGCACTCAAGCCTGGGCGTCAGAACTAGACTCCGTCTCAAAAAAAAAAAGAGGGGGACCCTTGGATTAGGTTCAAAGGGCTTTCAGCAGGTGAGGTTGCAGTGGAAAGCGTTCTGCGGAGAAGAAACAGGTAGGGAAACATGAGGCTGTGTGTAGGGAAGAGCGATGATAGATTTTGGTCAAGGCACCCCATCTGTGGTCTGAAAGGTATTTCAGGTGGCAGCACAGAAATCCTGGGCTGGACTTACCGATGGAAGGCTGTCAGGGCTGATCTAGGCTAATTTAGAATGGGGAGATACTGGAAGTGGGGAGACCAGTTTGCAGGGTTTTGCAATGATGAAGGGAAGAGGTAAGGCGCCCTTGGATTGGGTGGGGATGCAGGTATTGGAAAGAGGAGGGTGTAAAGGGAGCAGGGACATAGAGTCAACAGGCTCTGATAACTAGAGGTAAAGCTAAGGGGGTAGGGAGGTAGTCCAAGGCTGTTGGACTACCTGAAACTTTTGAGCTTAGGGTGAAAGAAATCAATTCATTTTGGGGAATACTGGGATGAGACCACGATTGCCTGCCCCGGCAGTGCAGCCCAGAAGGCTGACAATGTGTCTGGAGAAGGTCAGTGCAGGACTGGGATTATCCTCCCAAGGTTACAGTTGAAGTCTTGAACAACAGATGATTCTATTGTTGGGACAGAGTGAAGAGACAGGAAGGCAGCAGAGGACGGAACCTCGCTAAACAGCCTGTTTATGGGGCAGAAGAAGAAGGAGGCATCGGAGGTGACTGAGGCCATGTAGGAGGAGAATGAGGGCAGTGCTGAGGTTCAGGAGTCTGAAGAGGAATTTCAAAGAGGAGGTGACAGAAATAAAGTATCACTTCAAAACCCATGACCTGGCCAGGCGCGGAGGCTCACGCCTGTAATCCTAGCGCTTTAGAAGGCAGAGGCAGGTCGATTGCCTGAAGTTAGGAGTTTAAGACCAGCCCGACCAACATGGTGAAACCCCGTCTCTATTAAAAATACAAAAATTAGCTGGGCATGGTGGGCACCTGTAATCCCAGCTATTCGGGAGGCTGAGTCAGGAGAATTGCTTGAACCCGGGAGGCAGAGGTTGCAGTGAGCCAAGATCATGCCATTGCACTCCAGCCTGGGTGACAGAGTGAGACTCCATCTCAAAAAAAAAAAAAAACACAAAAAACAAAAACAACCCCCCCTCCAAAAATCAGGACCTTAACTATTTAGCAAGCTCCTACTGCTTTAGTATTTTCACCAAGAGTAGATACAACCCTTTCCCTCTTTTTCCCTCTTACTGTTAGAAGCTGGAACTTTCAAAAAAGGCTTTTCTAAGTAGTGCCAACAGAGAGCAAGAGAATACAACAAACATCAGATCTGCAGGGTATACGGTTCTCATGCCAACACAGCCACGGTGCTCTATGGGGCTTGTGGGTTTCCCTCCAAAGGGGAGCAGAGTTCCTCAGACCCCAGCCTGAAGTTGGCATGGCCCCTCGGAGTCTTTGGCTGGGCTCCCTGCTTCTGGGAATGGTTTCCACTTGCTGGCCTCCTCTGCTCCCCTCCTCCTGCTCTGACAACTGGCATTTGCATCTGGGCAAGACGGCAGCCTGTCCAGGCCTGGCCTTCCTGTTCTTTTGCCCAGCGTGAGTGACTCCCTGTCCTGGTCAGGGACACCAGGAATCCTGTCACTCTTTCCAGGAGACAGTGACTACAAGCAGATAGGTGAAAGCCCTACCGGCACTGCAGTGTGTGAAGGATGTGGTGTGGCCTGGCGTGCAGGAAGGGGGGCAATGTTCTCCCTCCGAACTAAGGGTAGCAGACCCTGCGGTGGTGGGGGAGGCCAGGACTGAAATGAACCTCTAGGAAAGGATGAGAAAGATGCCGGTGGCTTTTGGCAGAGCTCATTTGTCGTAGGGCAGGTTGGACCAGACGAACTGCAGAGGGTTACAGCGTCAGTGTGGAGGCCGAGGCGGGGACAGCGCACTGGAGACATCTGGCGCATTCCTCCCTTCTCCTGCATCCCATGCAACCTGGCCACTCGGGTTCCTGTTCCGGCCTCACTGGTCCAGGTGATTCAACCACACAGAAGCAGAGGCCCCACCGCTCCCCGCAGGCTCACTGCCCTTCGTGGCATGGGGGTTGTCCCTTTACCTTTCTGAGGATCAGCTCTTGTGGCTGCACTCTCTAGTTTAGGTTTGGGGTGTATCTTGGCAATTTAAAGAATCCCCCAGTGTTGCAATTATGGAATTGTGGCACTTGAGGGCTGAAACAGATTTTACATATACAATGTTATACAACTTCAGGATTTAAATAACATGCAGTATTGATCCTACTGTATGCTGTCCTGGAACTGGTTCATACTGGCTCCGCAGAGCCACCCTAAGAGGGTGGAATGCACCCTCTAACTAGAGTTTTCATCTCTTCCATCCGTCCTTTCCTTTCCTTGCCTGTCTTATACTTTAAATTTTTTTTTTTTTTTTTTTGGTGACAGTCTCGCTCTGTTGTCCAGGCTAGAGTGCTATGGGTCAATCAGGGCTCCAGTGATCCTCTTGTCTCAACCTCCCAAGTAGCTGGGACTACAGGCGTGCGCCACCACACCTGGCTAGCTTTCAAATTTTTTGTAGCACTGGGGTCTCACTATGGTGCCCAGGCTGGCCGTCAAACTCCTGGGCTTTAGTGATTCTCCCGCCTTAGCCTCCCAAAGTGCTGGGATTCCAGGCGTGAGCTGCCATGCCTGCTGCTCTGATTTATTATAAGTGTCCATACTTTCTGGACTTTCATCCTCTGTAAAAGTCCTAACCAGAGCTTTGAGCTCAGCTGTGCAAGTACAGAAAAATCACCCTGTGGGAAAAAAATGCAAGCATCGAAGTTAATTTGCTTTTGTGTTGGATCCACATTGACCACAGAGACAACTGAGTGAGTCCATAACCTGTCCTAAATGGCGTATTTCTAGTCTAGTTTATTTCTTCTTATTTGTGGTCACGCTGCTGACCCTGGCCTACACGGCACGCCACTTTTCTCCTCAAGGGCAACGAAGCCTCTTGTTATTGAGGATATTACAAATACACAATTGTGTCTGCGTCTCCCTGTTGTATTCCACATAAGTATGAAAAGAACATGGCCCATGCTCAGCCTAAACTATAAGAGGGAATTCCAGGAGAGGTTTAACTGCAGTCAGTCTCTTTCCCTAGAAACCTATTTTCAGAGGAATTATTGTCTCTCACTCCCTATCAATAGTGCAGTAACATCCTCCTGCTTCTATTTTTTTGACAGGATGCTAGGCTGGGGTGATAGGACTATGCTTTCAGTATCCACTCATTGAAATAGAACGCAAAAGGCCAGGCGCAGTGGCTCATGCCTAGCACTTTGGGAGGCCGAGGAAGGTGGATCACTTGCGGTCAGGAGTTCAAGACCAACCTGGCCAACATGGTAAAACTCTGTCTCTACTTAAAATACAAAAATTAGCTGGGCATGGTGGTGGGTGCCTGTAATCCCAGCTACTTGGAAGGCTAAGGCAGGAGAATTGCCTGAACTCAGGAGGCAGATGTTGCAAATGAGCTGAGATCGTGCCACTGCACTCCAGCCTGGGTGACAGAGTGAGACTCCATCTCAAACAAACAAACAAAAAAAAATACAGAACACAAAAGATTTTGATTCTAAATTCTGCTGCTAACTAAAGCATGACCCTGGGTAAGTTGTTTTCTGTCTCTAGGCCTTAGTTTTCTCAACTATAAATGAAGGAGTTAGACAAGGTCAATGATGGGCTAGTATTTTTTTTTTTAACAATCAGCTCTAATGAAGTGGGAGGAGAGAGAAGCCTGATTTGTAGTATTTGTCAATTTCTGTGGTGTAAATTACCTCACCAAAAGGCCCATTTGAACTACTAACTTGAAGTAAACTGGCTGGAAAATACCTTGAAAGTTAAGCGATTGCCTCTATGAGATTGTATGTGTAAAATCCATTTGAGCCCTAAAATGCCACAATTCTATGACTGCAACACTGGGTGATTGGTTAAATTGCCGGGATACACCCCAAACCTCATGAACAGCATTCACTTGCTGCATCAGTGCACCGGCATCCTGATGAAAGCTGGCTTTGGTCCAGAGTCAGAGTGAGACGCCCTGGAAGCCCAAGCCGTCCTGACACCGTCGTGACTGTGAGTTGGGGAACTCAGGCCTTGAAACTCAGTCAATCAAGAGCTGCTCCTGCCTTCCCTTCTTTTGGTCAGATAGGGATGATTCATCCCTATGTTATTTCAGCCACTGTTTCCCAGGGTGCCTGGAAGCAGAAGGCCTGAGAGCTTGAAGCAGACAGAGGAAAAACAGGGAGGAGGAGGAGGAGAAAGGGACCCGCCTTGGGCAGGGCCCCTGCGCGGTCGTGGGCAGGTGTGAGTCATTCCTCTCTGCCTCAGCAGACACACCTTTTGTCAAGTTCTGAATGCCAGGCGGAGAATCTGCCTAGACAAAGCGCTCTCGATCAAGTCAGAACAGGTTTCCTGAAAGATCATCCCCATTAAAATTAATGGAATCGGAATAGGCAGATCTTTTCTGTAACACGATGTGTTTCTTTTCAGCATGTTTCCTAAAGGCTTAGAGAGACCCCTAAAAGTATAGAATAGGGAGAAAAGAGGGGCTTTCGCATCCCTGGGGCTCAGGACTGGAGAGAGAAGGTGGTTTTATATTATCCATTCCTGCCCTCCCAACCAACCACCTTAGCCACTTGCCAAAGAACTGACTAGCCAAGGGCAGTGAGGAATGTAATGAGCATGAATCCTCATGAGCTACTATATTATGATAAAGATCTTTCCATTGAGTGTGTGCGTTGCTATTGAATCAAGAAGAAAAGGTCTAGAAGGGAAAGGCTTGGCATATAACTAATTTCAAGGTCTTAGGGACACACTTTGCAACCATAAGGATGCTAACTATTGAAAACAGAAACAGCTCCTCTCTCTGGCCCATGCCTTCAAGAAGGCAAAGAAAAGAAGGAACGATAGTCATGCCAAAAAGGGTCATGGCCACATTGCAGCCTATTCGCTGCACAAACTGTGCCCGATATGTGCCCAAGGACAAGCCCATTAGGAAATTTGTCTTTCGAAACAGAGTAGAGGCCACAGCAGTCAGGGACATTTCTGAAGCGACCGTCTTCGATGCCTGTGTGCTTCCCAAGCTGCATGTGAAGCTCCATTACTGTGTGAGTTGTGTAATTCACGGCAAAGTAGTCAGGAATGGATCTTGTGAAGCCTGCAAGGACCGAACACCTCCACCCCGATTTAGACCTGTGGGTGCTGCCCCACAGCCGCCACCAAAGCCCGTGAAAGGAGCTGAGTCCTTAAAGACTGAAGACAGACTATTCCCTGGAAAAAAACTGAGTGGAAATTGGAACCCTTGCGCATTGTTGGTGGAATGTAAAATGGTGCAGCCACTGTGGAAAACAGTATGGAAGTCCCATAAAAATTACACAGAGAATCACCATATGATCCAGCAATCTCACCACTGGGTATACATCCAGGAGAATTTAAAACAGGGTCTTTGCCAGGCACAGTGGCTCATGCATGTAATCCCAGCACTTTGGGAGGCCGAGATGGGCAGATCACTCGAGGTCAGCAGTTTGAGATCAGCTTGGCCAACCTGGCGAAACACCATCTCTACTAAAAATATAAGAATTAGCTGGGTATGGTGCTGGGTACCTGTAATTCCAGCTACTAGGGAGGCTGAGGCAGGAGAATCACTTGAACCTGGGAGTGGAGGCAACGCAGTGAACCGAGATCACGCCACTGCACCCCAGCCTGGGCGACAGATTGAGACTCTGTCTCAAAAAAAGAAAACAGGTTTTGAAGATATATTTGTACACCAGCATTTCTGGCAATATTATTCGTGATAGCCAAAAGGTGGAAGCAACTGAGTAACCATTGATGATGGATGATTGGATAAACACAATGTGGCCTATCCATACAATGGAATATTATTCAGCCTTTTATAGGAAGGAAATTCTGACATGTGCGACAACAAGAATGAACCTCGAGAACATTACTTTTGGTAAAAATAAGCCAGATACAGAAAAACAAATCCTGTATTATTCCACTTATTTGAGATACCTAGAGGAGTCAGATTCATAGAGAAAGTAGCATGAGGGTTACCAAAGGCTAGGGTGGGAGGGGATGGGAGTTATTATTTAATGGGTGCAGAGCTGCAGTTTGGAAAGATGAAAACGCTCTGGGGATGTGGTGGTGATGGTTGCACAACATTGTGAACGTGCTTAATGTTGGTGGAACTGTACACTTAAAAATGGCTAAGATTTCTGTAATGTGTATTTCACTACAATTTGGAAAAGATTCTGCAAACACACAGAAGAATGATAATAACCAAAAACAAAATCTCCCTGGGTTTGTAGCTCTCTCTCTTTTTTTTTTTTTTTTTTTTTGAGACAAGGTCTCACTCTGTTGCCCAGGCTGGCATGCACTGGCATGATCATGGCTCACTGTAGCCTCAACTTCCTGGGCTCAAAGGATCCTCCCACCTCAGCCTCCCGAGTAGCCAGGAGTATAGGAGCATGCCACCACACCCAGCTAATTAAAAAAAAATTTTTTTTGTAGAGACAGTTTCATTATGTTGCTCAGGCTGGTTTCCAACTCCTGGCCTCAAGCAATTCTCCTGCCTCAGCCTCCGAAAGCACTGGAATGACAAGCATGAGCCACTGCGCTGGGCCCTGAATCTCTATTTTGTGACTTTGTAAGAAATATGAACTTGGGCCAGGTGTGATGGCTAACATCCATAATCCCAGCATTTTGGGAGGCCAAGGCAGGTAGATTGCTTGTGGCCAGGAGTTCAAGACCAGCCTGGCCAACATGGTGAAACCCCTCTCTACTAAAAATACAAAAATTAATTGGGCATGGTGGTGCACGCCTGTGATCCCAGCTACTTGGGAGGCTGAGACACAAGAATCATTTGAACCCAGGAGGCAGAGGTTACCTTGAGCTAAGATTGCACCATGGCACTCTAGCCTGGGCAACAGAGCAAGACTCTGTCTCAAAAAAAAAAAAAAAAAAAAAAAAAAAGAGAGAGAGAGAGAGAAAGAAATATAAACTTGGACAAGTAACTTGATCAATATGAGTCTGTTTGGTCATCTGTAAAATGGAGATGATAATGACATATACTTCTTAAACGTGCTGTGAGGTTAAAGTGAGTGAGACAGTCAAGTAAAGCGCTTGACACAGTCTTGGCACATAGTATGTTCTCAGTAGGTGTTAGTGGCCAGGTACAGTGGCTCACACCTGTAATCCCAGTTACTTACAGGGATGGGTGAGGCAGGAGAATAGCATGAACTCGGGAGGTGGAGGTTGTAGTGAGCCAAGATTGCACCACTGCACTCCAGCCTGGTGGCAGAGCAAGGCTCTGTCTCAAAATAGATAGATAAATAAATAAATAAATAAATAAATAAATAATGCCCTTTGCCTTTTAAATTTTCTTCCTTCCTTCCTTTTTTCCTTCCCTCCTTCCTTCCTTCCTTTTTTTTTGAGATATTGTTTTGCTATTTTGCCCAGGGCTGGCCTTGAACTCCTGGGCCATAGCAGTCCTCCCACTCAGCCTCTCAAAGTGCTGGGATCTCAGGTATAAGCCACCACGCCCAGCCTAAGAATGCCATTGGTATACTATTGGACATTTCTTAACTTTCTTACCCTTATATTCACACGCACACACCCACTACTGAGCAGAGGATACATTTATTTATCATCTTTTTGCAACAGAGATGTCAACATTGAAAACTGGATCTGGTGAGGAGGCGAAAACTGCTTTATAAAAATAAGACTTCTGGCCGGGCGCGGTGGCTCAAGCCTGTAATCCCAGCACTTTGGGAGGCCGAGGAGGGTGGATCACAAGGTCAAGAGATCGAGACCATTCCTGGTCAACATGGTGAAACCCCGTCTGTCTCTACTAAAAATACAAAAAATTAGCTGGGCATGATGGCGTGTGCCTGTAATCCCAGCTACTCAGAAGGCTGAGGCAGGAGAATTGCCTGAACCCAGGATGCGGAGGTTGTGGTGAGCTGAGATCGTGCCATTGCACTCCAGCCTGGGTAACAAGAGCAAAACTCTGTCTCAAAAAAAATAAATAAGGCCGGGCGCGGTGGCTCACGCCTATATTCCCAGCACTTTGGGAGGCCGAGGCGGGTGGATCACGAAGTCAAGAGATCAAG